TTCCTCAGATGTAATGTTAGTTCTGTACTTCAGCGTTGGGTAAAATAGCATTATAATCTCCTTTGTGGTAGAGAACGCTGCTTACATGTAGGCTATGGGAAACAGCAAAGATGTTAAATTAAACATATACACACTCAGCTTTTCCACGTTTATACTAGCCCCGATAATCAAAACTTCTACTTAGCGATGCTTCATTTCTGCAGATCAGTTTTTGTGAATGAATGACTTAATCCACTTGTTGCTTTGGTCTTCATCAACAGCCGCTTGCGCCACCTGTTGGTGAGCGACTGACAGCAGATGGAGATCGTGCATCGGTGCTCTACTGCTATTCCTGCAGCTCCAGGATGTGCAATGGCGAATTTTCTGCCGAATTTTAACCACTGAATTTGTGGAAGCGAATTTGGAAAGTGAAATAAAATGGACCGAAATTTTCCTGTCGAATATTATACATCGTATTTTTAACCAGACTGAATATTTTGGAAGTGACTTCTGGAAGGTGAATATGAGTTATTGAATTTTTAATTATGAAAATGTGTGTGAAATATTTTGATTTGAAATATTCACAGCTTAAATAAACAACTATGTTAAATTTCAGGACATAAAAATGCAAGCAATTAAAATGCAAGCACTGTTAATGCAATGCATTATTTTTTCAGTAAGTGCTATTCAACATGCTTTTTTGTTTAAAGACATATGGCATTAATTTTCTTCCATAGATATTTTATTAATATTTACTTTCAATTGTAATAATATTAAACAATATTATTGTTTTTAGTTTAAGTTGATTAAATAAATTGAAGCCTTGATAACAGACTTTTTTCAAAAACAATTAATTATTGCTTAATTCTAAAATTATACTGTAACAAAAAGACTGTCAAAATTCCCTAACTGAACAGAGGCTCCAGAACTGTGGCAAATTCTGAAACTCTTTTTAGAACTAAATCTTCGGTTTCATAGTAAATAGACACTACAGTACAATGTGTGGCCTGACTCTTTTTTGTCATAAAAAATGTTGGATGAGCAGTGCAGTTTTGGGTAACAGCTGTGGCTCATGTGCACAGGCTGAATCATCATGAACACACCCTGCTCATTTCTGATCGACTTACCAGACTCAACCATAAAACCCACCTGAAATAGTACAACTAGACCCTGAGAAAGCCCACACGAGAGATGGAGCTCAGTGAATTTAAACAACGCCCTGTCTACAGAGAACAGTATCATTAGGTTCACCACTGGATATACAGTATATTCCAATTCACACAGACTAGATTTGCATGAAGAGAAAGGCTTAGGATGTTAAGTCTGTGCTATGTCACTGTGCTCTAAACTTAGCACTGAAAGTTTAGAATACAAACACAGAGTTCAGAGAATTTAAGATTCAAACTCATTTTGTTCTCAGCGAGTTCAGACTACATGTCTGAAGTGCACTCAGACGTCTCACATAAATGAATTACATTAAAAAAAAAACAATGTCCCTGGTAAGATGATAACTGTGATAACATTATAAAGTTTAACTTGTGGTTTCACCTTATGCTAGTGATTTATGACCAGTGAGTATTATCTACAGTGCTGTCTGTGGGGTCGCTATAGCAAATCAAATCTCTCTAAACCTCCTGAGTCCTGGGCTAAAGTCCAGCAGTGGAAATGGAAATAAGAAACACTTGCCAAGTTCAATTCTCTCTTGGCATGACAGGCTGCTGATGGTTCAGTAAAGTGTGTTTACACACTTTTTCTGTCATTGTTCAAAGGTAATGATTCAGTGTATTGCCGAGATATTAAACTGATGGTTTGTTTATAGTTAATTATGTGAAAGAACCATTATAATTTAGCAAAATCATAATTTAGTTTGAGAAAATGAATGTTTATTCAGCAAAGATGCATCAAATGTGACAGTAAAGATATTCGCAATGTAATAAATGCTGTTCTGTTCTACTTTCAATTAAAAGAATCCTAAAAGAAAAATGACTGCGGTTTACACAAAAATATTATGCATTACAACTGTTTTTAAGATTGACAATAAGAAGTGTTTCTTGAGCATCAAATCAGCATATTAGAATGACTACTGAAGGATCATGTGACACTGAAGACTGGAGTAATGATGCAGGAAATTCAGCTTTGTCATCACAGGAATAAATTACATATTAAATTATATTAAAAAAGAAAACAGATATTAAAATATTGTAATAATATTTCACAATATTACTGTTTTACTGTATTTTTGATCAAACAAATGATAATGTTGAACATAAAAAGACTTCTTTGAAAAACATTAAAAACATTGTATCGACCCCAAACTTTGAACAGTGTTTTATTGTTTGTTCTAAAAAACTAAAGTCCACTGAAAAATTCCCTAAACTTGTAAAATGACTGACAAGCAGAAAGCTTTTCTGACTGGCTAAAAAAAATGTCCAGGCCTCTCCCCTGACACTTTTGAGCTGCTTGCATCGCCTAGGGCTGTCAATGACACACCAATTTCAGTATCTGTCAGGTAACAGGGACATTTTATGCATGCATGGTAAAACAGCTTAAAGCACTTTCTACCAGCATGACAAACTTCTGCCTATTCAAAATGTACAAAGCTACAAAATGTGACCCTTCAGGTGACTAACAGGGTCAACAATGTTGAGGATCCAGCAATTCCCCCCTCTGAGATGAGCTATTTAAAACGAGTCTAATCTCTTTCTTGATTGCTCAACAATGAAACGTCTTGGACTGAAACCTAGAAGCCTGTGCTCGAATAAATAGTGCCTGGGATCTGTGAAAAAAAGCCATTATTGAGGCTTATAACTTGTTGCTAGGCAACTGCCTGGCTCAGGTTGTCAGCCAGTCACCAAGATTTCTGTCCCGCCTGGTGTTAACTTCCTCCAAAATATTTTTAGAAGTGGAAATCACCAAGGCTTTCAAAACACTCCGAAAAGCCTGACCCAAATTCGGAGAGCTCTTTACACACTCATGTAAGAGAGGAATTCACACTTCCACAGACACGGAGGAACTCTTCACTTCCTATAGCAGGTTCGCTGGCACGCCATCAGGTAATTGTGCTTTTGAATCAAAGGTCTACTGTATCTCCACCCACCAAGCCAGCAGGACATAATATGCAAAGCACATTTATGTCCAAAAATGAGTTATGGTGCATTATCTCATGCATTTATCTACGGAATGCTTATACAATATTCATATTTTTTAAAACAACCAGCCGATGACTATTAATATAATAAAAAGTGAAGAATCTATGTTCCTCATTATTTGACTACTCAAATAAGTCATGAAGTTAAATACTACATTTCAAACAAAGAGAGTAAAATCCAATCATGCAAAGCTGATTTCATTTTTCCTCATGTAAAACAGCATAAATATTACATAAACGGCCAAATTTGATTGGTACGCTCTCCTCTAATTCATAGTGCTAAAGTTAATATTACTACCAGTTGTCACCAAGATAAGTTTAAAGGGATAGTTCACCAAAAGAAATGAATGAGTAAATGACAGAATTTTCATAAATAATTAAAGAATTTTATTTTCATTATTCATCAAAAAATTTTTTTACTTTAGTTAAAAAAGTAATCATTTACTTACCCTCAAGTTATTCCAAACCTGTATGGACTTATTTCGCCTGTTGAACACAAAAGAATGTTGGTAAGCAAACGATTGCTGGTAGCCATTGACTTCCACAGTATTTTTTTCTAATGGTTACCAGCAACTCTTTGGTTACCAACATTTTTGAAATATCTTCTTTTGTGTTCAGCAGAAGAAAGAATCCCATACAGGTTTGGAACAACATGAGGGTGAGTAAATCAAGACTATTTTCTTTTTGTGGAACTTTCCCTTTAAGAATGCTATTACGACTTAGACACTGAGGTTTCGAAATGAATCTGTATCATTCACATTGTTGACTAAAGGGTGGGCGATATCACCCGCTGTGTTCTGAAGCTGTTCGTCTTTGAGTGACGATGTGATTAATAACAATGATTCACAGTGATGTATGCAGACAGTGCGTGTTTGTGTTATCTCACACTCTCCTGACTGCTTACATCATGGCCACTTTTAGCCAAGAACATCTAAACAAAAATATATAGCCTAGATTTTAAAGGCAGTGGAGTATCATCAAGAAGAAAAACAATTAACTGTTATTTAAAAAAAATGTATAATGTAAGAAGCCACAGTGGGGGTCAAAACCAGCCCAGTCAATTCAAGTCATGTGTGGCATTTTTGGTATTTTTATAAGTAATCTAGAAGATTATTTTTTATGAATTATGAAGACTGAAACTTGCCTTAATAAAAATCCTCTTCAAAGAAGTATGCAACAGCATATTATATATAATATAACAAGAGAGGTGTGTTGAGCAACAAGTGGCAATAAGAGCACAACCTTCAGCCCACAACAATATTTCATATTGCATAAAGACGCACTCAGTAAGTGGGGTTTTTTTTTAGCTGGTCAAAACATACCAGTAACTTGGTCAATTGTATGGCATGGCTATGTCATGTGATAATCAATATGGTGGCACCCATCAGCTTTGAGTTTTCATACTTTCAATGTTTTGTTTTTTTTTGTCAAAAATATTGATCATTTCTTTATTTGTAAAACTTTTTAATTATCATAACTAAGTGCACCTTTAAAAATCATTTGCAACATTTCATATTTAAGAGATTAATAATAGGCCTATATTAAAAATTGAAATGTAATTTCTTACTATTGGCAAGAAAAGGCCTGGATGTTTTACGACATGTCTAATATTGTAAACTGCAATTGTTGTAAAATGCCTCAGCTGACAACGTCTCTAAAACACAAAATATGCTGTTTAAAAACGATCTTATGCTGAAAAAGTATTCAAACATTCAAGGATGTCAAAGTTTGTCAGGTGTGGGAGTGAAGTGCGTTTGCAAACATGTTCTGCTTACATTAAACTGCCAAACGCCGGGCATATTCCGACCTTTGACGCCACAACACAGCAGGCCAGCTTTAAAACATTAACCCTGTAAAAGTTTACAACACTCACCCTCCGTAATGGGCCTTTACTTTCACATATTCCGAGGGCAAATCCATCATCGATCCGTTACTGACAGGCATGATAACTCCAAAAGAATACAAACACTCTCTTATAGAAATAACACAGCCTCTGTGTATCAGAAGACGATATCAGATGTAAAGTGACATAATCCCGAATAAACTGTGTGAGTGGTCAATCTTGTCCGTAATGCTCCCAATGTCGCGTCACCGCCGAAATGATCCATATCGCGAGCGTGTTATTCAGCTTCTTTCCGGTACGCTGGATTTTACGGTGTCTTTGCTATGGTTACTCACAGGGGCGGAGAGAGACACAGAAGTATGGCTACTTCCAGGTCTGGCTTGGCCTCGGAATCCACCTGTTGTTCGCCTGCGCTTCCGTGGGACATTCCGCGCGTGTAGCGCTGTCGCGAGGAAATGTTCCAAAGTGCACTTTATAACAGCATAACAGAAGAGCGCGACAGCTTGTTTCGCGCGAGTCGCGACGTTTGTTCTAGTATTCCATCCGCCGTGACGTCAGCGAGGAATGTGCAGATTCCATGAACGCGTTATTTGCAGGTGGACAACGGTTTGTGGGTCCAGCCGGTCTCGCTCTCGTTCTCTCTCTAGGTAGAGACTGATGCTTATCCAATTAAACAGAAGTAGGTCGGTGAGAGAAGAAACGGAATAATGCACGTGAATGGGCTAAAAACTTGCACTACTCAAGAAAGATGTAGATTTTACCATTTGGTTAAAAAGAGTAGAATAAACCTGTTTTGGTCGACGTTAAAAGTGCATTTTGAGTATGTTATATATTGTTATTAAATTATTTTAATATTATTTTTTAATAATATAATTTTTTAATTATTATATTAACGAGGAATATCATTGAAGTGATAACCTGGTCCAAGGTCACAATATTTAAACTATGTGAATTTAGCATCCACTTAAAATGAGGGAAATTATTTAAAAGTTGCACGATTTGAATAGGGAACATGAAACGAACAAGGACAAGCAAGAGCCGTTGAACTTATGTTTTCTGGTTTAATTCACAAACATATTTGCATGACAAATATATCATTCACACTTTGAAGTCTTGTTTGACTCCCACTTTGAGTGGGGAAAATTATTTTATTTTATTTTTCTAAATTCATGTTTTATATATTTATGCTTTAGCTTCTGTAAAATTGTACTGTCTGCAAACGTCAATGTCTTGATATCAGGTGCACTTTACAATAAGTTTATATTTGTTTGTTTGTTTATTGAAGCCTATTTGTTCATTTCACGTATATATTAATACATTATTAAAATATCTGTTGTAAAGTTGGACCTGAGCTAATACTGACAAACACTGAACAGTTCTATTTTTATTAATTAATTTTAACAAAGATTAATGAATACTGTAACAAAATTTGGGGAGGATGAATGGACAGTTAAAGGTAAAGCTGTAAGTGTTGTAATTCTCATTTTATCCACTTGATGTCGCTACAAGCTTATTCACATAAATTCTTACCCCCTGAATAGTTGTCAAAACTGTTCGCCAACCCTTATTATAAAAGTTATGGTTCTAATGTTCCAGCTAATACTATTTGTGATATTTTAACTGTCATTTTGATTCATAAAATTGTAGTAGGCTACTGTAGATCTCATAGCTGAGCGATAGGCTATTTAGATTTATGGCGTCGTTAAATTTTAAGGTTTCTTTTTATTTTAAAATTTAAGTTTTTCCACGTTTAAGCCTAACATTGTTTTAAGCCTTGCGGCGTTTTAAGCAAAAAATAGCGTGAACGTTGTTGTGCGCAGATCTTGCGCAACGTCGTAGAACAGTAAAAACATCTACAATACATTCTTCTCATCTGAATAATGGAACGTCTGACTCATTACCGCGAATCGACTCACATGAACAGTTCATTTCAAAGAATCAGTTAAAAAGACAATTCCGTCCCTGCGTCCCGATGTGCATACTATCCACCCTGTCTGCCCTAAATAGTCTTGAAATTACTTTTACATAGAATTTAGCATGGATAGCGTGCACATTGGACCACAGGCCGTGATTCTTGTGCGTCCGACGTAACGTCGTACGCCATCACGTAGTCCTTGACACTCTGGCGTGGCGTGTGCATTACAATACATGCTGTTTATTACGTTTATTAATAAGGGTGGTCATGTAATTTAATGAGTCATTTGCCATGTTTCAGCACATGAGAATGAGTCATTTAGAAACTAAATAGAATTTGCATTTACGACAATCTTACATTCATGTACATGTTGTATGATTAACAGTTTTTTATGTAAATATTAGCTGTAATTTAATAATTAAATTATTAAACCCGACATACAATCAAAAGTAACTTCACGCACCATCCATCAGTCAAATCCTCGCTTCACTGCAAACGCTCTTGTGAGTCGTTTCGTTCCGTTGATTCGGTTTGGTTTTAGCGGTTGATTGAAAAGATCCGATTCAAAAGAACGAGTCGTTTACGAAATGGGACATCGCCAGTCTGCATTATTATCACGCTGTTTGTGGGAATACCGAACACCAACCCACAAAGCATTACTGACTACAGATTTACTCGATTATGCTTTGCAAATACATCGGTATTTCTTTTATCTCGCTCTCTTTACTTTAGCGCAACGTTAGCATATTAGCCGTCCGGTTCTACAGCTTTTGTGACTAAATTGTTATGTGCTATTTGCTACTATCGACTATTAGCCTATGCTTTGAAGCATGAGTTATGATAGATAATGTATTTGTATCAATTACATGGAGGTGAACAGGAACAACTTATGCATTGAGAAGTGCTAGTTAGCCAGCTAGCTGAGTAGACTGAAGTGCTATGCATCAACTTGCTCCTGGTCCTCCTCTCGGCTTTTGGATTGCTGATATTGACAGAGACATTTAGATATTAAAATAGCCTAAAGCCCTGGCACTTGCGTTACATGGGAAATCTACAATGTCGAGGATCCTTCTGGGCCTGGTAATGCTTGGTTAGTAACATGTATTCCTTTCTTATTAAAAATATGTATTATAGGAGACCTGAACATTGTCAGCAGCTGCAACCATGGTACATTTGATCCATGCACAGTTGCAAATAACCAAAAAGCCTACAAACATGCGAAATATTTCTGAATTTTAGAATGAATATGTCAAGAGTATAACGTGCCTTTAACTTGACTTCTTTAGCAGGATGCACTGTTACTGTTGAAGATGTTCAAGCCTTTGGTGAGTTACTGACTTTATGATATTGTCTACAGTAGGGGTTTTATATGTCAGGGACACTCAAATATGATTGTCCCCTTCTTAAATTATAAAAGCAGATTATTTTCAATGTATAGAGACTTATTTATACTGTGTGAGAAATAAATTAAGCATAACCGAAGATACATTTCAAATTAAAATACATGCAAAATTAAATTACTGTAGTAAATTAATCTCTGGAAGATATATACTTTATATTAAGTGACTACTAAATATTTAGTTTAAAAAACTAAAGAAAAAAATTATATCTAATTTGAAAGTAAAAAAAACAAAACAATTGTATTAATTTGGTGTGGGGGGTTTTCTGTGGACTTTGAAAAGCACTATTCTAAGCCACTGATCAATAATAAAAAAATATGGATTTGATTCATTCATAAGCATGCAATTATAGTATTTATTAATATTTTGAATTAGCTTTTATTTTTATATTTTCATTTTAGTTTTAGTCATTTTGCTATCTGCTTTTGTCGTTTTTATTAGTTTTGGGTTTTTTATATTTCTATTTAGCTTTATTTCAATATGTCAGTTTATAATCTAACTTTTAGTAATTCTAGTATATTAGCTTATTAAGTTTATAGATTTTTGTTGTTTTATATTTTATTTTATTTCCGCTTTAGTAGTCATCATTTCTGGTAGTTGAAATAGTTTTACTTTCAGCTAAGGATAACAACACTGGTTCATTCCCATTATTTCCACAGACGACCCGATCACCAGACTTGTGAATGAAAAAGCAGGTGAGCGGTGCTCGGGTAGAGTGGAGGTGCGTCATGGGCATCAGTGGGGCACCGTGTGCCAGCGTGGTTGGGATCTGGAGGATGCCGCAGTGGTTTGTAGAGAGCTCGACTGTGGCTTCGTGTTGGACATTCCAGGCAGCGCTCGTTTCGGACGGGCCGGTGGAGAAGTGCTGTGGAGGAATGTGAAATGCTCGGGTGACGAGTTTGCCCTGGATCTGTGTGAACGCACCCTCAATGATGATGTGTGTATGCACAGTGAGGATGCTGGAGTGGAGTGCACAGGTACGAGAGCGTTTGAAATTTTTTAATTGATTTTACGCATCCCGTGTTTGTTTGTAGTTGTTCATAATTTTTTCTCCAACAAGGAAAACTCCTAGCACCCACCTTGTCAATTCAGTCTCGCTTCTACACCTATTCGGCCGGAGAGGCTGTTCACTTTAAATGCACTGCCCCATACTGGCAGTCCGTCATTGACTTCCATCTGTACAAAAGAGGTGTGGACACTCCGCTAGTGACCCAGAGAGCAGATCCCAGACAAATGACGGTGGATCTGACTCTGTCAGACTCAGAAATCTCCCATCAGGGCAGCTACAGCTGTCTCTACAGGATACACACCAAACTGGGAAACTCTCCCTCAGGATTTTCTCCACACAGCAACTTCATTAACATCACAGTCTGTAAGTCACATCTGCTGCTAAACTTGTAATGGAGTGCAAAAAGTCTCAGACTGACCTTTATTTCTTATTCTCAGTGGAGATTCACACTCCCCAAATCTGGTACAACACGTCTCCTGAGGCCCGGCCGGGTTGGGTCATCCGGGGCCATAGTTTTAACGTCACCTGCTCCATGCAGCCTCAGTATCCAGGAGGATCCTTTCAGCTGCGGCTCATCAGGCCCAATGGAACCGTCCGGCACTCTCTGCCAGCCCTCGCTCCCTCCGTCACCTTTACCTTCTCCAATGCCCAGTCCAATAATGAGGGCTACTACTGCTGTCTCTACAAGGTCCAGACTGGAGAGCGCACATTTATCTCGAGGGAGAGTCAGCCTTTACCCATCTCTATTCGAGGTGAGTTGTGCGCTTCCAGCCCAGGGGGACTTGGGATGTTTAAAATTGCCTGGACTGCGTTTCCTAAAAGCAACGTAAGCTTAAAGGGATAGTTCATCCAAAAATGAAAATTTGATATTTATCTGCTTACTTTGGATGAACTATCCCTTTAAGTTGATCGTAGCTCCATTGGTTCCAATGGAACAAAAGGCACAAAGAGTCATTGTAATTCAGGATAAAAGCAACAGTTCCTTTGAAGTTCGCATGAAATTAAATTTCACATTTTATATTCCATTTATTTACTAAATAATTCATATTCATCCATGTATGTTTCTTTGATTTAAATGTTTGTTTGTTTTTTACAATAATTCATCACACTCGTATGGAAGGTTGTTTCCACCACAAAATAAAGTAAAACTTTTTATCTCACAAGTCAGACTATTTTGCAAGATAAAAATGCACAATTACATTTTTTTACAAGAATACAATTGTGAGATGTAAACTCAGAATTCTGAGGGAAAAAAATCAGAATTGCGTGATATGAACCCTGAAAAAAATCAGAGATAAAAGTCACAATTACCTTTTTTACAAAAATTCAAAACAGAATTTAAAAATTTAAAATTCTAAGGAAAAAAAGTCAGAATTGAGATATAAACTGAGATTTAAAAAGTTGCAATTACCTTTTTTACTCCGTGGTGGGAACAGGCTGCTATACACTTGGATGTACTTCACAATACTGAAGAAAATATCTGTGATCTGTCGCTTTTTCTGTTTTATTACACCTTTAAGGACATTAGTTTGGTTTGCTGTTTTATTGAAATGTCAGAAGTAGATCCGGTGATGAGCCCGGTGTTCATCAGTTTACTGGTGTCCAGTTTGACGTTTGTGGTGGCCACGTGTGCCATTCTGATTGTTGCCAAAGTGTACTGCAAGAGAGTGAGCAAACCCACTGAACTGGAGCGAGAGAGCAGGACCTGTGAGTAACTGTGAATTCAAAAACTATTTAATAATTTGCGTTTATTTTACTGACGGGTTATATTTTGATTACAGGTGTTGACAACACATACATTGCCTTGACAATCAAGTAATGGAAGTTCTAAAAGAAGGTCATGTGAATTGTTTTTTGTTTTTATTTGTTTTGTGTGTTGGTTTTTTTTGAGGAGGGATAGTTTTTTCCTAATCAGGCACAACACGACGAGTTGTGAATTGTATCTGTTGTGGCAACAAGCACTAAGACTTGAATAAAGCCCAAAGTATGCTTCAGTTTTTATGCTTACGCTAGGGTATGTGTAGGTTGCGCATGACGAAAATTTTGTCAGCAGCACAGTACATGATAAAATGTGCACACACAGCCCGATACAATGTACATGCAGCTTACACATGCGCTTTGTCTACAAGGTGGAAATTCTGGTCTGGGCTATTGTTTCACAATCGGAAATGAAACGGTAGACACCCATATTGATGAGTACTTGTGTGAAGGCATTAAAACTCTAGTTTAAACTCTAGTTTAAACAAGTACAAATACATTTTTATTGCTCAGTATTACTTTAGGAGAGAAAAAGCACAGGCACGGGACAATGAATCAGAAAGTAATGAAGGCATGATGTAAAAAAGTAACATCCATGTGCTGATTTTTGCATGTTTTTTTGTTTTCTTTCAGCAACTAGAAACTGGTGACTTGTTGGTGTTTCAGTGGCCTGTCCAAACCAAAGGGAAGATCGAAGTTTGAAGAACCACAGAAACCACCATTTCTTACTAGCTGCCATTCTCTGTCAGTCACAGAGAAACATTTCCATTGTCATTGGTTGGAGGTTTTTCTGGAGATGTTACTAGAGATGGAAAAAAAAATTTCTTTGAAAGTAAATGCTGACATCACTAGACTTGAAGAGGGGTGACATTACAACACAAGCTGTTGCACTAACAAGGTTAAAAAGGGCTTTTTAGTTTTTGGAGGTACCATGCCTGACCCATCCTGAGGTCTTCCCATATTGTTGCAGGTAAAGACTGTAAAACTGAAATGTTTTTCTTTTTTTTTTCTTTGTATTCTTCAAGGGGCTTTATAATTTAAAATGATGTATTGTTTTTCTACTATAGTTCTTATGTTTGGTTAATTACAGGTGGGACAGACAGCCTAAGAACAACCTCTTTTGCATTAGGTCACTACAGGGATATGAAAGTATTATTAATTAATTAAGTGTTTTTACCTGGATTGTTCTTTTTGAAATGAAAGTGGGCTCTCTGAACGCATTATACACTAGATCTGATGGGATGCTTACACGGACAAAAGAACAAATCCTCTGACACATTTCTAAAACAGCACAGGAAATAATCCCTGTATTTACAAATATAAACAATAATTGATAACAGTAATAGTAATAAAGGTTGTAGTGTGAATTATAGGCATACACTAAATACTTGAAGCAGCACTACTATTGTCTAGTGAAGCCAAGAAACCAGCTGCGAACACTACAGTACAGTATATACACTCCATATTTAAAAGGAAAAGCGAAATGTAACCGAGTCATATGTAGACTGAAAGATTACAAACCCAGATAGGCTTGTTCAGTTTGCATTTATACATGTTTTGTACCCATAAAAACAATAGTAAATGAGCAAAATGCTCAAATAATATTAAAAAAGTTGAGTGAAAACACAGCCGTCACTTCCTGTTACATCCATGTCTTGTAATGTGGAGAGTTAATGGTTGTAGCTTTGTTGCAGTTTTTGGTACGTGTAATAAAATTTGTAGACTTTTATTTTGCCATTAAAAACAAAAATCACAATTTTGACATGCATAGTGTTTTTACTGTTAAAAAAAATCATTTGATATGTATCTAAAAGGTTCCTTTTAATCAAACCTGTAGTTTTTAAATCACAAAACGCCAGAAACAATCAGTTCTGGCATTCATTTCATTTGGCTCCAGCATATTCAAATACATAATTCAGAGTACGACCCAAATCCAAAAATGATACTTTCAGACATATTACAATGGAAAATCAGCTTATTACCTATTGTAAAATAATGAAGACTTAATTCAGTAACTTTATCCTTTAAAATATGTTTGTGTAATTCATACGAAAAAGCTTTGAAGTTTTCTAGTAGTAGTCAAGTTGTGATATACCAACCTGTTATGAGCCCAAGAAATGACTAAAAATACAGTACTGTAAAATGTACTGCAGCATTACAGTGGGCAATTGTTGTATCTTGACCAAGGAACAAAATAAAAGATCATAAAAGTCATCTTTTCAACAGGTGCATCCTGTAGCACCCACTACCTTCATTTTCACAAATGAGTACAGTGTCAGGCTATTACTTTGATAAAACCTCACACACAAAGTAACCAACATTTAAGAACTTAAAACACTACAATATGTTAAAAATCACATCTATTGTGCTGAATATTTGCTTGTTTTAGAAATGTAAGATTCTGTTTAATCACACGGAATCTACATCAGGCTTTTGACAGGCTCTGCTGATTCCATATTTATAAAAACCAAGTACAGAAGACCAGATATGATCAGAAACACTAAAAACTGTAGCCAGACTGGGACTAAGCCTGATGAACTTTTCTCTGGTGTTTTCTGGATTTGAGATTCTGGTGGCAAGTTTCTTGCTTGTGACATATTACGGTAAGGAGCTTGAGTCCTATATATGGCAGGCCTTCAAAATAAATTCATGCATTCAATTAATAAAAATAATAATTCCCCTGATGGTGACACTTTCAGCATAATTCTACACAAAAAAAGCCATCTTACTCATCTATGTAGTCCATCCCTCTATAATCGGACCACGTTCTAATAAAACAAAAGGAGCTTGTTAGTTTCAGTATTTTAGCATAACATGATTTAAACTGCTTTAATATTCAGACTGACTTACCTGTCGATCACATCAACGTATCGTTGCTAAATGAACACAAATGCAACATTATTCATGTATTCATGGAAACAAGTCTGAAACTAGTTTTAATAGGTGTTAGTACTCACAGGTCTGCGATGCTGAACATAGGTGACATCCTCTGTAAGGCAAAAGTGTAATCAGTTCAAATCATTGGTGTAATATGGCATTACATCTAGATGCTCGTGTTTTGTGTTGAATTACCCTCCTCCCTGTAAAATGACCTGTTGGATTGAGCTTTAGTTCTTCTGTGTTTAGTCATGGCTTCTCTCAGCTTCTTCTCGTAAAGGGCTCTGGTGGAATCTGTTTAAATTAATATACACAAATCATATGCAGGACAATAAAAAGAAGAAAAAACAACCCAGGATTATTATAGTAGACTAGGGCTAAGGATACTTGAAGTAAAATAAACGTTATCAGAAATAAAGAATTTAAAAAATTCAGCTAGTTACCAAAGCAACACTTGTCATTTACATTTATTTTTAACTTGATGTACTAAAACAGCTCAAATAAAACTGAAATTAAAATGAACAAAAACGATGTAGACAAGACAACTATGCAGACATAAAAATGATGATTAAAATGACAAAACACAAGATTACTAAAACATTAACTACAATTAAAATGAAAACAATACGATACAAAAAAAAACTAATTAAAAACACATTTAAATAAAATAAAATAATAGTATGCAACAACCCCATTCTGATTACAGTGACTATTAACTTACCGACCACAGGACCATGTTTTATTCCATAATCATCCAGCATCCATCTGATCTCCTCGTTGGATTTACTGCTCAACATTGTCATAACTTAAACTGAACGACAGCGTCTGGTTTTCCGTATGAAATACTTAATTTTCTGTGAAACCGAAAATGAACTTTATGACATAGAACACGGTGTAACTTCTTCAGCAGTGGCAACGAAACTTTATTGAGATACATTATCTTGACTAGGAGATTTGTGATATTTTTTAATCATATATTTGATACTATATTTGCAACACTGTCTTGCAAAATATTCCATATATATGTACTCATTTAATGTCCTCAATATTAGGCATAGCCTCTGTTGTACTGTAAATACTTCAGGTCTGTGGAATTTGTTTAGTAGCCTAATTCAATGGTAACAAAAAAAAACTTTACTAAACGAATCAATACAATGTTATTTTCAAATCATACATCAAAAACAGAAACTATTATTCCATATATAGTATCTCCTATAATATAGACGCAAGTATAGATCTGGAACTTCTTTATATAGACGCATTTGGTTAACTCGTGACTTTATTTCTGTGCAGTGACGTAAATTTGCAGTTATGAATAGCACACTAACCTTGTTTGCAATGCTCTGACTCGCTTTGAATATGTGACACATTAATATAATACATAAGCAGATAAAACAGACATTGTGGTTGATATTAAGTCACGCTGAGGAATTCGTGGCTATGCTGACGCCTACAAATAACCCGTATCCGTTTGAGTTGTAAACAATGTGACGCGCTTCCGCAACGCAACCAATTCGGACATCAATTGGTGATGAACCTTATTGAATGACACGAATTCATTAATTCATTGATATTTATATTTAACTTAATTTTTTATTTTATTGTATTGTAAAATGTGACCCTGGACATCATCTGAGAGGCTGAATAAATAAGCTTTCCACTGATGTATGGTTAGTTAGGATAGCACAATATTTGGCCGAGATACAGCTAGGCCTATTTGAAAATCTGGAATCTGAGGGTGCAAAAAAAAAACAAATTTAATTAAATAATACAAATCTAAATATTGAGAAAATCGCCTTTAAAGTTGTCTAAATTAAGTCCTTAGCAATGCATATTACTAATCAAAAATTAAGTTTTGATATATTTACGGTAGTAAATGTAAAATATCTTCATGGAACATGATCTTTACTTAATATCCTAATGATTTTTGGCATAAAAGAAGAATCGATCATTTTGACCCATACAATGTATTGTTGGCTATTTCTACAAATATACTCGTGCTACTTATGACTGGTTTTGTAGTCCAGGGTCACAAATGTGTTACCCATTAGCCTATATACAGTGAATTAACATTTCTGTGACTATCGTTTATGTTAGTATACATATAATTAAAATAAAACAAAATAAAGATAATTAAAAATAAGAAAAGTGTAAATAAGATTACTCATTGGTAATTAGTTTCTCAGGATTATCAACCACAAGCCCTTAGATTTTTTATTTTATAATTTTAATAATTTTATTTATTTATTTGTTTGATTGATTCGTTTTATTTTATTTATGCATTATTCAACCAGTTAAACTTTGTAAAATGTGTTACCTATTAGCCTATATACTGTGAATAAACATTTCTCTGACTATCGTTTATGTTAGTAGGCTATACATACAATTTAAATAAAGTTAATTAAAAATAAAAATAAAGTATAAATAACTCATTAGTAATTATTTTCTCAGGATTATGAACCGCAAACCCCTTAGATTTTTTATTTTCTGTCTAAAAAGCTTTCCTTTTATTTATTTATTTAATGGAGATTAAAAGAAAAAAAGATTCTAAGTGCAAAAATAATTACTGATGGTGTAGCAAAATATGTTACATTTAAATAAATGAGTAACGTGTATATATAAAATTATTACTAGATTATTGTTATTAGATTTATATCAGCAATGTTACTGCTGTAAGTTCACTGCAGCCCTGAACAATCACTGTTACAGAGGGGTATAGAAAAGTTTATTAACGTGTCACTCCATAATACAATAGCAAAATATATAAATATGTATAGTATTTTTATGTTACATTAATCAGTATTTAGCACACAATAGAAGACATTGCAATTACCAAATGATATTTAGACAGACTTAAAGAAGTTCCAGATCTATACTTGTGCTCTTATTATTTTAGTTATTTTGCCTTTAATGTAAATAAACATGTGCAAACAATATACTTGCTCTTGTGAATTTATTTTGATGTTAATTACATTGTGCCAGCTGTCTCTTTAATACCTCGTGGTTTATATACATGCTGCTGCTGATTGGGCTGACATGTTTGACACACCCACCAAACAAGAGAAAACGCATCTCAAACCCCGTTGCACACCGTTTCCAGGAAACATGTCGTTCAAACCGGAAACCGTAGAAAAATGGTGCACACCGGTTTGAGCTTGAACGTGCCCCAGGTTACAACTAGAAAAGCGGAATATGTACTAACAGTGCCACTAGATGGCAGTACTGACCTTGAGTCAACAACAATTGATCAATCTTTTAAAGAATCTGTGCTTGTATACGTTTAGAAAATGAGGTTAAATATTTGTAACATATTGAGATTATGCATGGTAATGTTTTGTTAAAGCATTCTACGGCATATTTTATATATTGAGATAAAGCAGAGGACATTTGTAAACGCCGCAGGTTATAAAAAAAACTGAGAATGCAAGACGGATCCAAGTCGAAACGTTTATTTTATTCAGGCCTCCTGCCTGATCCAAGGTCATCCGTAATCACGGTGTTGCCTCGGGTGACTGATTACAGTAGCAGCCAGCAGAGCTGAATCAAAGGCCAGCCTCATTTACAGACTCCCGCGTCCTTTAAAGCCCTCCAATTTCCCTAGACTTCCTGAGGGACAGTCGTTGTTGTGCTAGGCACATTCACCGGCCACTGCGAATAAGCAGAACTCATAGCATGATATCCCATTAGACCAGAGCAGCTCCCATAAGCCTGAGCAAGAACACAGAATGTCACACCATTAGCATTCCACATTGGCCCCAACCTCCAGCTGTAAAGGTAAAATGAACAGCGTTTCAGGCAGCAAGTCGATATGCTCTCACACAACCTTTGTAATGGGAATTGAAGGAAGAGCAGCGTGGAATTGCAAAAAAAAAAAAACAACACCAACAAAACAAAGACAGCTGTCCCTCACTCTAAAGGTCATGCTGTCTTGGTCAGAGTTGGCGGTTTTGGTAATATGTGGGAATGTTTCAGCATTTGTGCCAGGGCGCATTAATGTTAAAAAAGTCAAAATGTCTGTATTGGGAACCATAAATATAAATGCTTTATGTCTTATCAGGAATCATTTTGTGACGTACACGGTTCTTGAGTTATGACCATTTGAAAATTACACTTTTTAAGGTCTTATGGATAGATTATTAACCTTTTTTTGTAACTCAGCATATGACTCACTAAAGCTGGTTAATGTCAACTTAAAACATGAAATATATGTAGCAATATGACAAGGAAAATAAAAAAAAGTTAGTTAAAAGAGAAAAAAAAATATTCTCGTTCTGGGAACCTCTGATTTAGAGTAAAGACAACTGAGAACATTACAGTATTAGCTATATTTACAGCTTTATATTAAGAGATAAGCATCTTTTTTACATGTACAAAAACTAAATCTGACAAATCTAATGAGGCCCTATGATAAAAGTGTCATTTGGAAAAAGCACAATTTGCAAATGGTTCTCTTTGGATGCCACTGAGAGAAGACATTTGTAACATTATGTGCTTGACACTCTCCACGTGGCACAAATTATTGAAGCTCTATGTATCATTTAAATGAAATTACACACGAAGAACAATATGGCCTAGATATCAAACTAGCAATTTCTGGAAACAGAAAATGTGATATAATTATACAGTAACCCAGTTTTCTGAATTACGAACCAATGAGGATCATACTGTTACAATTAATAAGTAATGTGAATAATAAACTGTTTGTTCTTGTCACATTTAACATAATCTTTGAAATTTTTTTTCATGCAATTAAAATGTTCAGCAAAATTAGACTTTGCTGTTTCAATCCTCTACAAAGAACATCATTGAAAACTTTCATTCATAATGTGTTCCAGTTCAAATGTTCACGTTTTGTCCTCAAAAGGACACAGAGGTTCTGAGTCCGAGAAACACCCCAGTGTTTGAACCTCAGGAGTCTGTGCTGTTTTTTGTAACAGGTGCCGGTCTCCAGTCTGGTTGATAGAAGTGTATGTTGAACATACGTGCCCAGTTGGCAAAGACACGTTTCTCAGTGATGAACCGATGGTGGCTGCCGTGCCGGCCCTGCTCGTGGGAGAGATACATTTTACATTCATCTGGCCCCGCAGGCTCGTAGTAGTGATACGGCACTGACAGCTCGAGTTTAGGCGACCTGAGAAGAACAGTCACGTGTAACTGAAATTGTCATAAACCACCAAAATACAAGGAGGTTTGAATGAAAGCACAGTATACACAACAGTGATCCAACAGCATTATGGTGAATATGGAAAAGAAAGTCTCACTTGCAGAACTCAGGAGGAATCATGCCATAGACGTCGATTCTGTCACAAATCTCCACAGCAATCGCCATAGTGAACCAACCCGTGCTGAGCCATGAATTGGACCTTTTTCTGAATAACACAAGAGAGAAAGAGCACATCTATGTAGCTGTGATGATCAAACGACACTGTTCCCTGTTCCCTGCAGCCATTACTTCAGTGTCACATGATCCAGATTTGGCGTTTACAATGTTTTAGTTTGAATGGACGTCTTAGATGACTCACAGTGGGAGATGAATTGAGATAAGAGCGATATAAGGAGATAAAGGAGATAAAAGATCCACAAACAGACAGAAAAAACTCAAGAGTTTAAGAACATGTGAGCATTTTGCCCTGAGCAGTTTGTGTCTGATTGGGTACATCCCAGCTGGCAGCTGTCTCCAGCTGGCACTGATCCTCTCCTAACCCTTAATCTGCACTGATGCCAAGCCGTGTGCCCTGTGGGCCAGTGATACCAAGCCTCCAGCAGGCTCTGGTGGTCTGCACATTAGTTAACAACCCCCCCATGCTGCATTTAAAGTTAATACTTCCACCTCTCTTTAAATGACGCTCCTCTATTTTATTTTATTTTTTTATTCTTGGAAATAAATATTAACTACTATATATTTTTACCAGTTGAAGGTTTATCCTCCTGATAACTGTGAACACTGTGGATAAAAAAAAAAACAGTTTGTCTGGCCAATGGCTGTTACAGTTAATAAAATTACACACTTCAGCTTTAAATATAATTTTTTTACCGTTTTTTTTTTTTTTTTTTATAATTCAGTCCTGAGCTAAATTACAAATTAAAGCGTATATTACAATATACGTTTATATTATATATATAAATGTAGATAATTTTATATACATTTTTGTATTTTTTATTTATTTATATTTAAATAAAGTATATCATTTCAAATCTAGACAGATAATCACATTTTATTTATTTATTAATTTGTTTATCATTAATTAATTAATTACTTCATTCAAATAAATCCATTACATTTTAAATTTGCTAGTTTGGTTTTACAAATACAATTATACTATAGTAAGGTCTTATAAAATAAAGTATATCGTTTTTAAATAGTTTCTAGTAATGCAAATAATCAATGATTTATTTATATATTCATATATAAATGTATATAATTTTATATACATTTTTGTATATTTCATTTATATATTTAAATAAAGTATATAGTTTCTACAATGTTTTTTAGCAAATGGTACAGAATCTAGACAGATAATCACATTTTATGTATTAATTAATTTGTTTATCATTCATTCATTCAAATTAATTAAATACATTTTGAATTTGCTAATTTGGTTTTACAAATACAATGATACTATAGTAAGAAGGTCTTAGAAAATAAAGTTTTTAAATAGTTTCTATCATTTATTTATTGATTGATCTGGTAACTTTTTTTTTTAATTTACTGATTTGGTCTTTCAAATAATAATACTGTAGCTGATTCAATATTATACAACAGTGAAATTCTACACAGCAATATCTTATAAAATAAAGTATATAGTTTCTACAGTGTCTTGCAGCAAGTGATTCAAAATCTAATAATATGATATGATCAACAACTAAAAAATTTAAGTGGTTAGTTAAAAGTTACTAAAATAAATACATCTTGAATACACCTGAGTGTACACAACTAATAATGTTTTGCAAATAGTTTCATGTTGTTATTGAAGGTATTTTTACAAATTTCAAAATTCCTAATTTTACTAAAAATAGGTTTTGAGTCATAAATATAAAGACTTTCTGGGTCAAGTCGGTTTTTTTTTGTATTCCATTTACGGAACAAAATTTGCCTTTTCATAAAAATGTCAAAAAAAAAAATCTTTTTTTATTACTGTATGACCTCAATAAAATAAGGATCTGCAGGAGTCCTCTTATAAAACAAAGTACTGTAAATAGTTTCTACAGTATCTTGCAGCAAGTGATACAAATCAAGAGAGATAATGCGATTAGGTAAGAAACATTACTTTAGAATGCGATTAGGACACAAAGAAAACATTACCATCCTCACCTATCTTTCCCTGTTTCCTTCTTAAAGAGCTCATCAAAATGCAGCATCTTTAACCTCGAGATGACGTATACCTGTAGTTTAGGCATCATCTGCTTCAGCAGATGCAGGTTGTTGTAGACAAGGCCTTTACCGTCTTGTCGCATGTAGTTTCCAGGCCCCCAGAAGATAAAGAAGGTGTTCTGGCTGGAGTTGAGTAGCTCAAGGCGGTTTCGTAGCACACGTTGCATGCTGGAGTGCGCGACCACACGCAAACTCGTTCGCTGGCCCACGTCCCTCTGGTAGCCTTGTGTTGGGGCATCATTCATACGGATGACGCACTCCTTGCGGTCAATCTCCCCACCTCGACCACTTCCAGTCATGTGACCAGAGCTAGTCACTAAGGCACAGCTTTTGCATTGCATCCTAAGAGGCTGAGGATGGAGACAATGATGAGAAGTTTTAGATTTAATGTTCAACATATAATTTATTCAAGTTGGTTTCATACACTTTTGAAATGTTTTCTGAAATGATCCAATAAAGTATAATCTAATAGCTCTAATAACTTAATTAGAATTTACTAAAATACTTCCCTTGCATTTGATGTGTGTGTGTGTTCTGGGTCAAGTTGTTTTTGTACTCGCTCTAAATTTTTAGAAAATCAATTTTTAAAACAAAATTGCTTCACTGCTATTTTTTCAAATAAATAATAATAAAAGTTTTCTTCAAGACTTTCAAGTCTTATAATGAACCTTTTTTCCTTTTTACTTCCACACAGTTAAACTACCCATTGTTGACTCTACACCCCACATTAAATATCAAAATGACTCTTATTCAGAAATGAAAAACATGTCCATCATAGAAAAGATGTACTAATTTTGTAAGAAATGAAAAACATGTCCATCATAGAAAAGATGTACTAATTTTGTATAAAATCTGAAAGCTACAATTATGAACAGGCTACAATTATGAGGACAAAAGACGAAAGGATAAATCTATAGTGGGTGAATGATTTAGATCCATGTTGAAGGATCTGAGGACCCTTAAATGCTGTTTTGTGTTTCTTAAAGAGAGCAACCACACATTTGTGTTGTGTTTTACTTCCTTTCTTTTATATTCATTTATTCTCCATTTATTCATTCATTCATTCATTTATAATAATTTAATCATTTTATTATTCCATTTAATCATATAATCATTTTAATCATGACAACGCTCTGAAGATTTTAGCATGGTGATGGATATGACAATGTTAATGTATTTGGTCTTGGCGGAATAGATCTGCTACGCT